CGTAGAAAACAGCCTTTACAAAACAGCTATCACGACATTCTGATTGCCTCAGCATGAGAAAAGGAAACAGCGTGAAAAACAGCCCGTTTCACGCCCCAAGAAAGCTTTAGTACAGCTATGAAACAGCTATGATGTGAGCTTGAAACAGCTATGATGGGAGCTTGAAACATGGGAGCTTGAAACATGGGAGCTTGAAACAGCTATGATGTGAGCTTGAAACAGCTGTGATCTGAGCTTGAAACATGGGAGCTTGAAACAGCTATAATGTGAGCTTGAAACAGCTGTGATCTGAGCTTGAAACATGGAAGCTTGAAACAGCTATCATCTGAGCTTGAAACATGGGAGCTTGAAACAGCTATCATCTGAGCTTGAAACATGGGAGCTTGAAACAGCTATCATCTGAGCTTGAAACAGCTATGATGTTTGCCAAGAAAGATTCAAGATAACGTGAAACTATGCAGTTTCATTGCTTGAAACGCCAACATGACAAAATCTCATGTAATTACTGCATGATAAATGTTTGCAACATAGCCACATAGCCCCCACATGGCTAATACTTGCAATACAGCATATTTAACATCAACATAACTACCACATGACCAATCCATGTCGTGACACTACATGGACACCACATAGCGACCACATGGAGACTACATGGATGGAGACTACATAGTGACCACATGTAGCCTACATTGCAACAACATGTAGCCTACATGGCGACCAAATGGAGACCACATTGCAACCACATGTAGCCTACATAGCGACCAACTGGAGATCACATGTAGCAATTACATGTAGCCTACATAGCGACCACATGTAGCCTACATAGCGACCACATATGGCCTACATAGCGACCCCGTATGGACTACATAGCGACCACATGTAGCCTACATAGCAACGACATAGGCCGCAACATGACAATTCGCTACAAGCCCTGGAAAGCAGCACTGCTATGAGGTGGCTGTTGCATCATCATGTTGGCAGGCAGCATGTTGGTCATCATGTTTGCAGGGGCCATCATGCGGGCAGAGGGCATCATGTGAGGCGGGGGCATCATGCCAGGCATCATGTTGGACATCATAGGAGGCCGCATAATGCCTCCAGTCATCATGTTGGATGCACCTGTGGGTATGTGGTTGACAACAACATGGTATGTATGTTCAACAAGGTATGATGTATGTTCAACATGGTATGTATATATGTTCAACATGGTAGGTATGTTCAACAAGGTATTATGTTCAACAAAGTATTATGCATGTTCAACAAGGTATTATGTTCAACATTATATGATGTATGTTCAACAAGGTATGATGTATGTTCAACAAGGTATGATGTATGTTCAACAAGGTATGATGTATGTTCAACAAGGTATNAGGTTGCTACTTGCAATATGTGGTATTGTACCACATGACATGTTATCAGCTAAGATATGGTATGTGGTGTAGCTGTAGTTAGAAGGTAAGATATACATTATAAATATATATTTGCACAGCATTATTCTCGTAGGCAGTTATAATATGAATGTATTATCCTCTAGGTGATAGAACACACTATTACATTACGTCTACTTTCCATGTGGTAATTTACTAACATTTCTTTTGTTAACCTAAGTACCACATGACAGGTTCTAAGCTACTATGATGGGTAATTTTAATTAATATAACAATTAATAACCCACACTTGCTGCTACCACTAGGCTGGTGCTGCAGTTGGTTCACCTACCACTAGGCTGGTTCACCTACCACTAGGCTGGTGCTAGAGCTGGTTCACCTACCACTAGGCTGATGCTGGAGCTGGTTCACCTACCACTAGGCTGGTGCTGGAGCTGGTTCACCTACCACTAGGCTGGTGCTGGAGCTGGTTCACCTACCACTAGGCTGGTGCTGGTGCTGGTTCACCTACCACTAGGCTGGTGCTGCAGCTGGTTCACCTACCACTAGGCTGGTGCTGCAGCTGGTTCATCTACCGCTAGGCTGGTGCTACAGCTGGTTCACCTACCACTAGGCTGGTTCACCTACCACTAGGCTGGTGCTGGAGCTGGTTCATGGAGGGTTGGGGAGGCCGTTTGTTGGGGGTGAGCTTGAGGTTGTCGAGGCTGATGTTGAGCCCCGAGTTGGCCCACGTGTCGGGGACGCTCGTCACTGCCGACTGATATGTTCCAATTTTATTAAATTATGTTCCAATTTTATATATTTATTGAATTTATTTGCGTCTATGTTCAATATATATAATGGTTTCAATAATGAATAAATATTATTCTAATGCTGGAAATGAAATTTGTTTTTTAAAAAATAGAAGGTGATCGCTGCCAACTGATATGGTCCAATTTTATTAATTATGTTCCAATTTTAGATATTTATTAAATTTATTTGCGTCTATGTTCAATAAATATAATGGTTTCAATAATTAATAAATATTATACTAATGCTGGAAATGAAATTTGTTTTTATTTTAAATAGAAGGTGATCGCTGCCGACTGATATGTTCCATTTTTATTAAATTATGTTCCAATTTGATTATTAAATTTAATTGCGTCTATATTCTATAAATATAATGGTTTCAATAATATATATATAATTATAATGCTAGAAATTAAATTTGATTTTTTTATTATATGGAGAATTAATATTATCACTGGACTTACCAATTTTGTTTAATATTTAACCAATTTTATTAAATTAAGTTCCAATTTATTTATTAAATTTAATTGTGTTTATATTCTATAAATAAAATGGCTTCAATAATGAATAAATAAAATTCTAATGCTAGAAATGAAATTTGTTTTCTTAAAAAATAGATGGTGAATTGACATTTTCACTGGACATTCCATTTTTGTATGATATTTAATAGATATAATGGCATCTATCTTCAATAATGATAATTGTGCTCATGTTTAATACATTATGATGTTGATATTCAATATATATAATTGCAATATTGAAAAATATATTTTTAAATAAATCAACAGAAAATTAATATTATTATAATGTTGGATTCAATATTGAACAAATACCATTGCATTCATTTGAATTAATATAAAGGAGTTGATTTTTAACTGTCAAAATTGCATACATATTTAATAAATATTATTCCAATATTGAAAATCCTTTATCTTTTTTTAATACAGTGATACTCAATTGATATTATTATAATATTTGATTTATATATTGGAACATTGACCTAATATAATCATCATTAGGATTGGTATAATAACAATATTTAGTTAATATATTTACATGCAAGTTGAACTAACGAAAGTTCAACTCGCATTCAACTCACCGTGGATGGAGCAGTGGTTGTGGGCTGAGAAGTTGAACTGCCTATAACTGTAAAAAAATTATTGAAGCTAAACAACCATGGTTAAAAAAACAGTTGAAGTCGAATTACTTGAAACTAAAAAATGTGTAAGTTGAACTAGCTATAATTGTGACAATTTGAAGTTGAAAAACGCGACACTGCAAAAAAGTTGGAGTTGAACTACTTAACAGAAATAAAATCCTATAGGTATATTACAGCAACAGTAAATACTAAAAACTTAAAAGCAAAGAAAACTCCACAAAAATTCATAGTATCTTTAAAGAAAACGTTTCGGAGTCCAGCTCCATCGACTCCGAAACGTTTTCTTTAAAGATACTATGAATTTTTGTGGAGTTTTCTTTGCTTTCAAGTTTTTAGTGAATTTGCGATTCAAGCAAACAAGTGACATTATTACTTATAAACAGTAAATAAGTTTCAGCAACAAGCTTGAGGAAGGCAGGAAGGAAACAAGGTTTTGTTATAATCATGGCAGGCTTTATTTTATATATTTTAAGTGATAAGTGAGGCAGAATCAATAGAAAAAAAAATTAGAAGCAGTAATATTGAAAAAATGAAATTAAAAGTAATACATGAAAAAATGTTATGAATATAGGTAATTGAAATTTGCAAATCGGAATCTACCCATATACATAGNGCGTTACAGCACCAAGTGCGTTACAGCACCAAGTAAGTGCGTTACAGCACCAAGTGTGTTACAGCACCAAGTAAGTAAGTTTCAACACCAAGTTTGAGGAAGGCAGGAAGAAAACAAGGTTTTGTCATAATCATGGCAGGCTTTATTTTATATATTTTAAGTGATAAGTGAGGCTGAGTCAACACGAAAAATAATGGCATTACAAAAATGAATCAAGGAGAAATATTATTGCAGCTTTGATACTTAGATCAAAATAAATGCTGAATAGAAGCAGTAATATTGAAAAAATGAAAATAAAAGTAATATATGAAAAAATGTTATGAATATAGTTAATTGAAAATTGCAAATCGGAATCTACCCAAACACATAGAACCTCTTTAACTGAACAGTTTACAGTCATAGGATGCAAGTCCATTAATCAGGTTAACAATCATTCAAATCTATTGTTCAAGCGTCAGGATTAGCAAAATTCAAAGTACAGACAGAACAGACAATTACTAATACTGCATAAATAATTTTCTTTATAGAGCATCAACATCTGTTGGATTGTTGTCGTTTGAAGTACTGTTAAAATAACAGTTACTATTCATCATTAACAATTGATGAATAGTAATAACAATTACTATTCATCAATTATGTTCGAAATAACCGTTACTATTCACTATTAGATAGTTTACAATCTTCTTCAAAAACTCCTAATTAAAATCGGTTATAAAAACACGTTGCCTATTTATTTTGATCAAATCCCAATCTGAATTATTCACCAAGAAGAATGAATGTGCAATTTTGACCCAATAATGACCCATTATGTAACCAACGCTACGAGCAGTTATAGAACGTAGCAATAATGCGCCCATTTACCGGGACAAACTGGGTTATGATGACCCACAAAAGCACCAAAACGTATATTTCGCTATTCAGACAAAGTCTTCTTCATATTTCTGAATATTATAAAAATGAAGGATTCATCAATAGTTTCTATTAGGTTACACTTAAAAAAATAAATGGTTCATATCGTAAAAATAGTGACGCACTTTCCGCATGTAGCACAGATACGTACTTTTGCCGGGCAAAACTGGGTCAGGATAGTCCAAGCACAGGCAAGAATACTGCATCGCTATTTGGACAAAGTCTCTTAATTTTAACGAGTGTACAGTGTATAATATAACATGTTTACAAATTAACACGAGGTATTTTTATGTCAATATTGACATCATCAGACGTTGTTATGAAACTCTTGATGTTCTCGCTGACGGTATCTTTGATGGCCATCAAAATGGACGCGGCCATCACTTTATTATCAGTTCTCTCATGTGAAGCATCAAGGACAACGCTGAGATATTCGTTGATGTTGTTGATTTCATCAAAAGTGAGAACAACAGCGAGGTTATTAGTTGAATTGAGCACCAGAGCAAGAGACTGCAGGTACGCAGAACGCACGGTAGCATCAGAGTGGTTCTGAACCATCAATGAAGTGGTACCAAGAAAAGAGGATACCATCTTACGGGTGTGTGGTCCATCGCCGGCTGAGAACACGATCATGCCTAGAGTGACGATGAGATCACATAATAAGGACTTGTCACGATTAAGTAAGTCTAGGTGGGGCTCAGAGATACCTATACCCTCTAGAAGTGGGTAAAAGAAATCAACGGCGACTTCAGCAAAGTTGTTTTTACCGCGACTTCTGGATCGTCGTGCTTGGGCGTGCCTTCGCAGCTCCGGCACCGATGTAACCGCACGTAAATCCAACAAGTAATCATCATTTATATCATCATTCCTTGGAATGGTATCTTGGATTCGACTACTATCGGTTAATAATGACCCATGTTGAGTAGTATTGCTGGTAGCCCGATTACCATTTCCCGTGATGGTAATCCGCGACAGAGGATCGTGGATGGAAGAAGTTATCCCTCCTAATGCAAGTTGCGTCGAAGCTTGTTTCATGGTTAGAAGAACATCATATCTCTGACGCAAATTATAGTTCCGTTCGTAGAACTGGCTTGAGAGATACCGAGCACATTGCCGGGGCTGGCTTACGGTTAGAGCCGTGAGGGAGGCTTGACGTTTAGCAACAAAGTCATCAATGTTGAATTGGTTATCAAGATTCAACAACACGTTCGACAACTCCACGGCAAGCTCAGGGTCTTGTTTGTCCATGTCCCTGCGTATGATTGATTCTGAAACTGCAAGTGCAGCTTCGGTCTTATCACAGTCGCCCTCAATGAGGTACTCAAGCACCTCCTGGGGATAACATGGTAACGGAACACGCAGTTTAGGTTTATCGTTACTCATGTCGTACGGTGGAAATTCATCGTCATCGCTGTCGAGGATCTCAGAGTCCTTGGCGTCTGAGTCGTCGTGAGTTGAGTCAACTTCATCTGATGAATCCTCACGTCCAACAGCGGTTTCATCATCTAATGAATGTTGGATTCTCCCTCTCGGCAGGTTACACATTTCCATATAGAGTTCTCGGTTCAAAGAATCTATTGTTTCGTCTCCATCACTTCCTGGTAATTTTGTTTTCATATTCTTTTCATCGACCTTATCACTTTTGGCCGAATCTGCGTTTTCTTCTTGCACAACATCAACGAGCCTTCGTAACCTGACTATTACTTCACAATCAGGGTACGGAAACTTCAACTGCGGCCCGTCTTTGCTTAGTATTTGCGATACGCGTTCACCAACCATCATTGCAACGGACCTCAATACAACGTCAGTAGAATCCAAACAGCTGGCAACGCCTTGAAGAAGTTTAGGCAGCGCTTCAGATTTAATATCGCTGACATCATCGTCAGTGAGACACGTGAAACAGAGGATAAGAGAACGACACACGTTCACCTGGTATGTAAAAGGTGTGTGCGTGGAGAAACTGGGGTTAGCGAACAGTGACATTAGGTGTTTCGATGTTGATTTCAGACACGCGTGGTTGTCATGAAGTTCAGCCAAAAATCTCACGATAAGAACCACTGATTCATCGTCGGTACAGGTACCATTCACTAGCATGTGCCGACAAAGTAGATGCTCTAAAGCGTTATCACTTAAGAAGTCAGAGCCCAGAAGTAGGGAGAGTTTACGTGGTGTCATGGTAGGGTGAGAGACCACGTATCTCAGAATACGATCTTTGGAATACCCTTGCAGCAACTTGGTCGTGAGTGCGTGGGTTACCCGCAAGAGGGCGGGGTCTAGAATGCAGTAACGCGGTATCCAGGTAACCAGTGGCTCCATAATGTCCTCCGGGTACGCCCGAGCTGAAATTTTTAGGATGAGCGACGCAATGGGAGTCAAATTGCAAGAAATTCCATTCTTCAGCCCAGTACACGAGTCGAACATCGCCAATAGGCAGCAATAGCCGACGTGGCGATAAAAGGTCCTCGTTTCAAATGCTTCTGGAGCTTGTTTCTGCATTGCGTTCGCTACTTTATCAGGAAGAGAAGCAATTCTGGCGATAAGGTCGTTCCAGACCACGCTGGACGGTAGACATCCAACCGAACTGGGACATGGCGCCGTCAGTCTCGGAAATCGACCAGCAGGTTCCGTTTCTCGGTTATCGCCGTTAGATAGTTTCTGACAATCACTACCGATTTCCAGCGGACCACTCACACCAACTGCCGAACTAGAGGAGATTCTACCCAAATCTTCTTGTCCAGGCAAACCGATCCCATTAGTATCTAATGGAGGACCAGAAGCACCATTGCTAATGCCCTGTTTGTCTTTCGAGATGCCGTTAGCGATGGAAGTATTTGGATAATACATTCTCGAAGGAAGGGTAGATTCCATTTTCGAAAACCGTAGGAGAACGTCAGCGATGGTCCAACTCTTGACGATGCCATGCAGAACACTTACAAAGAGGCCGAGGTTTGGTTCGTCTAGGATTAGAGGAAAGTACTCCTCGAAATATCCATTTAATATAAAATAATTTACCGACTGCCTGGTTGCACATATAACGCACGCTGGGGAGATCTCTCTTTTGCTTGATACAGATGATGTAGGTTGCTTTTCAAGTCCTATGCCCAAAGAATGACCCTTAGAGATAGGGTCAGAGGGTTCAATTTCTGTATCATCTTGAGAGCTTGGTTTCGGTTCATCCATAGCAACATCATTGATGGACGTTTGAATTTGGCTTCCAGATTTCAAACACGAATCGGTTGTTTGATATGAGTCAGGGGTAGATATTAACGAGGAATCTGCCTTTGGTCTCGAGTTCGCATCAGAATTGATTTCATCACACAAGTATTCCGAACAGATCTCAGGACTAGCATCAACTTTGCTTGTAATTTCATGGCGAATTTCTTCATCTTTCCCTCTTCCAGCTTTTCGATTCGCATTTGGTTTAGCATCACACGAGGATTGTTGAGTCGAATGGTTGGTGTCCCTTGTCACACAAGCGCGCTGGTTACAACGTACATTACGAAGAAAACTAATACATTTGTTGAGCACTGCCACATATCCAGTGCGTTTAAACATTATTTGCTTAATGTTCAACGGGTCAACACCAGAATACTTCTCCAGAGTCAACGGTCCCGGTAAATAAGCTGAAAATTTCTCAACAAATCCCGCAAACTCGAGCAAGTTTTCGGCTACATCCAAGGCCATGAATTCATTGAGATCATCCTCAAGTTCAGCCGAAAACAAAGTTTCATAAGGTACAGATGTAGGGGAATCTTCTTCAGAGCTGTCAAGGAATTTATCATCCAGGCTCATGTCGAACTCATCCATTGTGGGTGTGATATCATCGCCATCATCATCCACATCCAGAGTGGTGGATGCCAGCGCTTCAGCCACCCTCTCGAGGCTGTTCTTGAGGGCGTTCTGTGTCCAAACATCCACGCTCCTTAGCAGCGCTTGTGCAGGGATGATGGATGTGTCATTCATACCTACATCCATGGATGTGTCATTCATACCTACATCCATGGATGTGGCTTTCATACCTACATCCATGGATGTGTCATTCATACCTACATCCATGGACGAGTCATTCATGCCTGCATCCATGGATAAGTCATTCATACCTGCATCCATGGATGAGTCGTTTATGCCTAAATTCAAAGACTCTGGCAACGAAGCTTCAATACTCGAAGACGCATTGGCAACAGAATGTCGTTTGGGATTGCCAGTTGTGTAAGGTGGTGATTGGCTTTCGCCAGATGTGAGAAAGAACTTGAATTTGCAGACTCAAGATAGAGTGTGAAATTGATTACAACTTTTATTATGATGATAAATACTAGACAGGTAATAATCAACAATGAATATCTAGGATGACATTGACAGAATTTTCATGGTCTTAACAATTAAAAAAAACCTTAAACTTATCAATGAATTGAGCTGCATGCAGCCATAAAAATATCATAAAAATTATCTCAGAAAGAACGTCTAACGCCCGCTGAATTTATCAGTAACAATGCAAATCAAATGTTTTAATTAAGAAATGATGAATGATACCAAAAATCAACAAAATGAAAAAAATTGTTACTACAGTAAGCTATTTAAATCTATAGCTAATTAAATAAAGTTTAATTATACTGTTGTCCCTAGTTTAATCATATCTATAGCCAATTATCAAAATTGGCTATGGCCAATTTTTCTTAATTAATTAATTTTTCATAGCCAATTATTCTTATTTCAAATAAATAAAGTTTATAAATAAATGAATGTTTATTCATTTACTTGTGATAGTTTCGATGGATACACTTATATAAGAAAGGATATAAAAACTGAAAGTGATACAGGAAAGAATTCAACTAATCAATCAATTATTAATTAGTCTAGAATTAGGTTAAGAATTGTTTATTAGTCGAGAGAGGGAGAATCCATACAGATGTGATAGATATCTATATATATACAAATGTGATCTATACATACAGATGTGTATAGATCATCAATACATATCTTTAATGAATGACTTGTATCCCCACTAGAACATACAAGAATTAACACATCGCATTTGTATAATACAAAATTTTTATAATTTCTTAGAAAAAATCAATAATTATATCCCCATGTTACTTAATTGATTAACTAAAACTAATCATAGCAAATAATTAAACTGCACAAAATCATAGATCAAATCAATTCTAAATTAATTACTGATAATTTGAACACAAATCATTCCTAATGAATAATTGCAGGAATGATAATTAAAAAAAAATAGAAAATTTAATGAGAAATTAAAACTCACCTTTTGCAGTTGGTTGCAGCAGCCCAGATGCAGGTTGTGGTTGCATCAACCCAGTTGTTGGGCTCAGGGGGTTGCTGGTTGAGCTTGGTTGACCACCTACAACCAGATCATCTAGTAAGGAGGCATTGCCAGTGTTTGGTTGCATTGTGGTTGTGCTAAGTTGTGCCAGGTTCAGGTTTGGTTGTGCCAGGTTCAAGTTTGGTTGTGCCAGATTCAAGTTTGGTTGCACCAGGTTCAGGTTTGGTTGCACCATTGCTGTGCTTGGTTGAATAAAATTCAGGTTGTGCTGCATGATGGTAGGGTTTGGTTGTACCATTGCAAGGTTAGGTTGCACCAAACCCAGGTTGTGTTGCATCATGTTTGTGCTTGGTTGTGGTTGCATCATGAGGTTGTTGGTTGGTGGTGCGGTTGCAAACAAGTCAGTGGCAAAGAGGTCAGTGTTTGCTGGTTGTGTTTGGTTGCTACCAAACAGGGGCAGGGAACACGGGCCACCTAACCAAACAAAACAAAAGAAAAAAATCAAATAATGAAAATAATATCAGAAAAAAATAAAATCAAAAGAATATTTATAAATAACACGAAATAAAAAGGAACAAAATTTGAAACAAACATTCTCTACACTCATTTCCAAAGCAAGGCAATTCAGATTTAGTTTTGTTTTAAAAAAAAAATCAGTGACCAGAAATTTGTTTAAAAAAAACATCCATTTTTCTGATAAATGACCAGAGGATAATATAAATGTTTTAAAAAATACAATTCTATACAAAATATCTCCACTTTTTTAATAAAAACAAATATTTTTACTGAATGATATTAAATTTTATGATATTCAATATACATTACAAGATACACTGCAGCATACATTATCCAGTATATACAATATACATACATAATAAAAACAATATTGATTAATACAAACTGTTGAAAATATTCATGCAGATGTGTGCACAACACTAACACAACTAAAGGTTAAAATAATATATCAAAAAGTTACAAAAGTTATAATACTATATAATACAAAAGTTATAATACAAAAAAAATACAAAAGTTGAAATAATACATCAACCAAAAAATATAATAAATCAAATCAACGAAGGTTAAGCTTTCCACTTTAATGTTTCTCATATTAAATAAATTATATTTTAGAAAGTTGACTTTGATGGGAAGGGCAACACAGTGTTTGTTATTGATATTTTATATGTACTCATCAAATTGATGAATTTGATGAATATTCATTATTCATCAACTGTTGATGTAGTAACGTGGTGAAGTGTTAACAGGCATTGTGGGATAATCATGTTCATTACTAAGATACAAAAACATTTAATGTATGCATGTCATTATATATTATAAAATATACATTATGCAAAAACATTTAGTGTATGCCTGTCATTATATATTATAAATATATATTATGCAAAAACATTTAGTGTATGCCTGTCATTATTTATTATAGATATATGTTAGGCATACACCATTATTGTATACAATTCATTATATATCATAAAATATACCTATATTATACAAATACATACATATGCATAGACAAAACAATGATACTGCAATAGTATATCGATGATAACAGAAATCTACAAGAATTTCTCCTTTTTTCAAAGTCCTTAGAAAGCTCAAGCAGCAGAATAAATGTAGAATGTTTAATAGAAAAATTATATTTAATTTCAATAACCTTAAAAATGTTAAACCTTGCTTGAATATCTTTAACCTTGCTTAAGAATCTCAACAATGTTAACTACTTCTTAGGAAACTGAATGAAAAATAGCAGAAATTTGCCCTCTTTTATCCCTGTCTCTTATACACATCTAGATGTGTATAANCTTCAGCGGCTGGGGGGGCAGCGCCGCCCCCGCCCCCAAAGTCTGCAAAGTCTTCCTCCTTCCTGGGGTTGAAATCGTCTTCCCCAGCACTCCTGCTGTTATTGCTGTTGTTGTTGCTGTTGTTGATGTTTGCTAATAGGTCCTGACTGGTGCCGTTGCTGCTGTTGTTGCTCTGTTAACAGGGATAAATAAGACATTTCATTATTTAATTAACGTTCAAAATCAGGGATAAATAAGACATTTATCATTAAAAACCTTAAAATGTTAAAATGTTAAAACGTAAAACGTTAAATATAAAACGTTTAAACATTAAAACGTTTAAATGTTTAAAAGTTAAAACATAAAAACGTTAAAAATCAGGGTTAAATAAGACATTTCAATATTTAGTTATCGTTCAAAATCAGGGATAAATAAGACATTTCATTATTTAATTAGCATTCATAATCAGGGATAATTAAGACATTTCATTATTTAGTTAACGTTCAAAATCAGGGATAATTAAGACATTTCATTATTTAATTATCGTTCAATATAATCTATTTTCTCAGACTAGAAATTATCTTTTCAGTTCTGAGAGAAGAAGTTAATCTAAGCAAGTTGGTTGATATAAAAAAATAGCATTATTTTCAGAAATAGTAGCAAGAATTTCAGGTACAAATATTAGTTTTGTACTAATGGTAAGTACTAATAGTACTACTAATATTAGCAAGAAATTGAGATAGAAACTAGAAATATTAGTTTGTTACTAAGTTTTAGTACTACTAATATTAGCAATAAATTACAAAACAACCACCACAACCATACCTGGTTGAGACCGTAGCTAGCAGCAGCACCAAGGCTAACCATCCTGGTTGGCTTAGCACTTTTTCTACCAGCAACAGCACTGACAGTAGCACTGCTGCTGTTACTGACAGCCATGCTACTGTTACTGACAGCAGTGATGCTGTTGCTGCTGTTACTGGCTGTTGCGCTGCCCGAGGAGCTGGTAGAGAAAATTGTTATTGAAGCTTCATACAAATTCAATTTCTTCATACAAATGCACAAAAAAATAACACAGTTTTCTTAATAAACTTATTTTAATGGGTGATACACAAAAATGGACTAAAGTCAGTGACTAAGGTTTTAGCTTATAGTTCTGGTGCTTCCGATCTGCGTATTTTGGAATCATTGTATATTTTTAAAGAGAAGCCTAGTTTAAATGCTGCCTTTAGTTGTTAACCATTAGAAATTGTAAATAGATAGGTACTTACTTTATTATTAATTGTTGAGGAAATTGTAATTAAAGCTTCTGACACATTCAATTTCTTCATACAAACGCACAAAAAGATAACACAGTTATCCCAACCAACTTATTTTGATGGGTGACGCACAAATAGAAATTACAGAATACAACATGCAGTTATTACTCATTAATGTATTCAAACTTACATTACACTCGTCATATTATTTACGGTCTCACCCTATCACAATCTAACTGCATCTAATCACCATATTATGATCACCTCACCATTACTAACCCACTATGATCACGTCACTTTCACCATGTCACTTGCTATCGTCTTCTCCCTTTAAAAATCACCATTTCACTATCATCATCTCCCTAAATATAATAATGACATACACTCGAGTCATGTCACATGATCACATCACTATCACCATGTCACCATCATTTCACTATCATCTCCCTAAACACAATGATGACATACACAGCAGGTCTGCACTATCACCTACGTNGAGGGAAAAATAAATCAATGAAATGGGTTTCTGAAAGAAATCTAAAAAAAAAGAATTCCTGGAAGAAATTTGAAAAAATTCATCAAAATAATCGAGTACAAGATTTAAATTTGATGTATGGTCATGTTTAGTTTGCAAAAAAACTTGGTGCCTTCAATTTGTTGCACCAACATCTTCTGTAAATAAATAAAAAACTTGCAGTAAGCATACCCTTGAAATTATGAATAAAATATTCCAAACAAAACATTCCAAATAAAACATTCTGAATGAAACATTCTGAATACAAGATTCTGAATTATAATAATGAATGAAACATAATGAGTGAAATATTACAAATGAAACATTCTGAATGAAATATTCAGCATTCAGAATGTTTTTTTTTTTTCTCTTCAGAATGTTTTGTTGGGAATGTTTTGTTTGGAATTTCAAGGGTATGCTTACTGCAAGTTTTTTTATTTATGACTGCACAGAAGATGTTGGTACAACAAATGGCAACAAATGGAAGGCACCAAGTTTTTTGCAAATGTCATAAATGAGTCATAAATATAAAAACTATTAGTGAACATACCCTTGAAGTTATGAATAAAACATTCTAAAAAACGTTCTGAAAAATGCATTCTGAACCAAACATTCTGAATACAAAATTCTTAATAAATCATTCTGAATTAAAATTATAAATGAAACCTTATGAGTGAGACATTACAAATGAAACATTCTGGATGAAACATTCTAAATACAACATTCTGACTAAAATTATGAATGAAACATTTTGAGTGAAACATTACAAATGAAACATTCTGAATGCAACATTCTGAAATACAACTTTCTGACTAAAATTATGAATGAAACATTATGAGTGAAACATTACAAATGAAACAATCTGGATGAAACATTCTGGATGAAACATTCTGAATTATAATTATGAATGAAACATTACAAGTGAAATATTGCAAATGAAACATTCTGGAAGAAATATTCTTAATGAAATATTCAGCATGAAACATTCTGAAGCCTGGATTCTCACCTGTTGCTAGGGGAGTCCTGGAAGCTGGCTTTGCCACTGGACCCGCCCCCACCCCCCCAGTCATAATCCATTGACATACCTCCCCCAAAACCACCCCCTCCTCCTCCTCTCATCCCAAAAGAATCCTGCGACATTCCTATGTACTTGTCCCTGTTCTTCTTGGCCTTTTTTCTTTCTTCTCTTAATCTGTTATCATCTTGGATAAAATCAATCATGTCTTTGGCCTTCATGCGGACATTATTTCCTTGATCTCTGCCCAGCTCATCAATGTATTTATAATTCTCAAGGCCTCGGAGATCATAAATGTGTTCACGGGCAGTTGTGACGACTCTCTCGGAGCCGTTACGAACAAGGTACGCCAGCAGCAAGAGGGACTTGTAAGTTCTGCGCCAAGCGCTGCGATTCTCATGGAGCATTCGCTTCCAGAGCATCCCCATGACCTCGGGGAACTGCTCGTAGTGGTAGGTGGCTTGGGCCAACTCTTGCATTTGCGGACCTGCAAAATCTTATTATTACTATTTTTACAGGACAAAAGTGATACAAACATAGCTCTCATTAGTTTTAACTTATTATTAATGTTAATGCTTGATAAATTCACGTATTCACATATAACCCAAACTCGATTCAGTAAGTCTGCCAACTATACATGTATTTCATAAAATTTTAATGAATGAAAATGAATTTTACTCATTCAAAATCTTGTGGAAGCAATGTTACTAGAGAGTAATTATTACAATTGTAAAATTAAACTTCTACTCTTCAATTTAATTTCATCTATTTTGTATTAAAATATACCATTTAATTACTGGCATAATATCAAGAGACCATGTTGGGTAAGCAATAACATATACATATTAATATAGTAGGTATATATTCTGCTAACATATAAAATAACAAATTAATGCAATTCTCACAACTTGCTCAAATTTGCATCATGGATCTAATACTGAAAGCTCTAAATAAATAGTTTGTTTTGGCTCAAAGTTAGCCTCTACTACCATGAACCAGCTCACGAGTGTTGCAGGTTTATGTACCTACCATCATACTAACTCAGGGGTTATGGAGACAACAACATTCAAATCAACATCCATATTCTTAACAATAAAGGTCCACAAACATACCTGTTGGTCCCCAGGCTTCATCATTTGTAGCTTCTCTGACTTTGGCTTCAGTCTCGGTGTAGTTCATGACCATGTTAGTCCTGTAGGCAGTGAGATACATAAGCTTTCAGGATTTAGAGTGGAAACACAGAACAAACAAAATATACAAGAACATATGTTAAAAAACACACAAAAACAAAATTTACAGCAACAATAAAATCTGAAGTCCTAATTGTCAAATTTTTACTTCCAAATTTCCCTACAAGTTCCCTACAATTTTTAATTTTTACAAATTTCCCTACAAGTTAACCAATCTTACCAATTCTCTGCAAAATGTTAAAAGCACTTCATATTGATAACCAAGCTTACAGGTTTGTTAACTTTGCATTTCCAAATCCATGGAGGAATGTTGGGTAACAGTAAAAAGCAGTTAGACATTTAAATAAATATAACTCAGTACGCACTGCAGTGAGTGACAGAGAGCGCATTTTCTCGTCGACGAAAACTTGAGGTCACGGACAGACAGACGGACAGACAGACGGACATGGCGAGCACAATAGTGCATTTTCCCATAAATGAGAAAATGCGCTAAAAAGATTCCTTGAAGGAAAGAGCCTTGGCTCACATGAATATGTATGAATGGGTTTGAGAAATATTTGGCAGTTGAAGATTACCATTCCCACTGTGTGGATTGCAATTTGCAATAAATATGGTGGCAAGCAAGAAGGCATTTTTCTTCAAATTGCCAAGCAAATTTATATTATCTTCAAAAAATTAACTTTTCAACTAATGTAAGGTGAAATTTACTAGGTATTTTACTTGGTTTAAAACTTCTGGTAAACTTGCAATTTCAGCAGATGAATACAACTAGAAAATAGGGCGAAAGCCACTCGTGTTCAAGACAAAAACACTCATGCTCATGATTAATTTTACTCCTGCCTACTGACCTTGGCTTATTTCTTGACAGAAATCCTGAAAAAAAAACTCATTTCTGCTCCTAATTTTCACTAATAACTTTTTAAACAATATTTCTTATCCTTGATTTTTGGAGAATTCAGCACATTATTTCAGACCGGAAAATAATGAATTCAGTGTCCTCAACCAATGTTGTACCTTACTTTACAGCGTGGGTGACAACTTGAGTGGCGTCGATGTTAGATCCATAATGATTCTTTGACAATATGGTTACTCTATACTACATTGCCTAGGCTGTCAAAGAGCCTAAACAGCCTAGAGCCATTGCCTAGGCTGACTAAAATGCTGCTTTTAGGCATTTTTGAAATGGCCCTTATATATTCAAAATGTATTCAATCTGTTTACATGCTCAAGTCAAAAATATCTGCCAATTTATAATAAGGTAGTCCTTCACGCTTCATGATCCAATATTATATGCACATCAATCTCAATACAAAAATCAGGGTGAATTTCTAGGGGTGATGGTTCATGCATAGACTGAAGATTAATCCAGCCTAGCAACCTGGGGCCATACTTTCAAAACTCGCTAAGTGAACGTAAGTACTTACGCTCTATTTTCTTGTCTATGATTGGTGGATTTTTCTTGCGTGACCGTCAATGATTGGCTGATGAACTTACGATCTCTTAACTTTTTTTTGAAAGTATAGGCCCTGGACTATAAAGTACAGCATCATAGGTCAAGGATATATGCCTTCCAAAGCTCCAGCCAACATATTTCTCTTTAAATAGCTCTTTACATGTATTTTAGGCAAGGAATCTAAAAGATTTAGGTAAATCTGGTGACCAATGCTCAATACTACTGGTGACATGTTGAACCTAAAACCCTCATCTAGGCAATGTAATTGCCTAAGGGTACACACACAGTGAAAGCAGGTTTGCCCACGCGGGCAACCTGCTCCAACCAGCCACAAGAATGAACATAGGATAATAATGCAAGTGTTCACAGTGAAAACCTGTACGAATAAACTTCTGTATTCTATGGTTCCAGACGCCAGCCTCAGCAGGTAACCAGCACGCTGGCAACCTGCTTTCACTGTGTGCGTACCCTTACTCAGCAAAGTGGGTAACAATTGCATCGGGTGAAGGGTACTGTTTGAAACAAGTGTCAGGTATCAACCCATACCATTCTGTAAAATCAGACAAATTTACTCATGAATGAGACAAAACTGCCAGTCTTTATGGTCAATTTAACCTATTTTTATGGCCTTTGTCTTTCAATAAAAATATGGAAAAAAACTATTTTCATGGCATCTGTCTCTCATTGAAAATAGAAAAAGAAAAAAACCTCACATTTTTGCAAGCAATATTAAAAAAATGTTTGTAAAACCATAACTTTTACCCGTGATTCTTGTTAAAATTTGTTCCAATAATCCAGATTAGAACCCATGCTGCAAGCAGTGTTGATTAATAAATCCATATTTATTGATAGGATATAGATAATAATTCAAAGTCTGAGGTCAAAATGGTGTAATGTACAGTGTCAAACTACAGATTTTTTAGAATTAGTTCAATTTTAATTTATTTCTTCTACTCAAAATTCAAGCAATATCTTATGTATGATAACACTGGTCAAGTGATATCCATGATACTTTGCGGGTCTACTTGTAGGATACAAAAACCAACTTGAGTATGACTCACTGTATGAGTGTAAGAAAGTCTTGCTTTGACAACATGGACTTTGATGAAGAGCTTTAAATTAAAGAGACATATTTCTTAAAAAAAAATTTACAAGACCATTACCATACATGGCATACAATGATACATGAACATGGCTATTGCTGTCATGGCAATTAGCTAGCTTAATTCCAAAATATCAGCTGAATAATATAGTATAAGTATTGTTTAATACATGTTGATGATAGTACCTGTTTACACATTACCCATCCAGCAGACCAATCTACAATATTGAGTAGAATTTCCCAAAAATCATAGGTAAAAACTACTGTTTCACAGATGAATTTTAAGACTTACAAGAAAATATTCAGAATATAGGGTAAACGCAGAATATTCTGACACATTAAGGATGCATCAAGAAATGAAAAACTATAAAAAAATAACTGTATGCGTTACTCAAGTTCTTTGTTTGTTTTACGTGACTCTTAAAACACCGCACTTCGTGCCAGCAACAATGAAACGTCACAAAGTGTTGCCATATTTATTTAAAAGCCTTTAGAATGCAAACCTACCAAATCCGTATATTCCGGAGCTGTGTGTGACTAAATTCGGCACGTTGTGAGACGAATTCCGGCCGCGCTTCAAACTCTACTAATACGTAATTCCGACATCCTTGTGTTCGAATTCCGATCGCTGTGTGAGCTGTATTGGAATACAACACGGCTTTGAATTAGAACACTATTGAATATTAAACACTACTTAATTAGGCTTTTAATCAACAGCTATTAAGCTTTTAATTAAGAAGATTTTAATTTTTGCACACAGCTTGGAACGAGCTGTGTGTGTCCAATTCAAGTTGTGTCGGAATTAGTTTTCATGTGTCTAAATCTGTTTCTTAACTTAATCATCTATTAATTTATTTACCACTTGAAATCAGCAAATACAAGTATACTTAAAGGATTCCTAATATATTCACAGACGTATTTAAAAGTCTCAAAAAATAATATTCTTTCTACACAAACAGTTTATCACTATTTGGTAGAGCAAGGTGACAAGGTCAACTATCAACTTTGACACATTTTTCAATGATCTCACTGGGTGGCATCACTGGCATGTACTCTCTCTCTTAGGATCTCAACATTTTTCCGCCAGACGGCCCAAACCTAGTGTTTTGGCAATAGTTTGGTGCGCAAAGGTATGACGTCACTATTTCAATCATCAACGAATGCGTGGAACTAAGACAAAGCTTAATATAAAGGAAAAACTAGAGGTGTTGGAAATCGGAATTACCCATAATGTCGGAATATACCGCGTTTACCCTAGGCTGTCTTTCACATTTTTTTCTGAATAAATAGGGAAAATACTCTAATAAAGGGTTGAATTGGTCAAATTCATAAGCATTCTGTTAAATACACGTAGGTATGGCTTCTGCCCAATTTCCCAGTTAAGCCAGCAGAATGCTGTACATTTTCATCCTGAAATATCCTATTTATTATGCAAAATATAGTGAAAAAAATAAATTCAATTCCAATGAAATCTTTTTAAGTTGCCAAACATTCAAAGTTAACAAGGGAACCAAGTCAACTGACTGATACTGGCATTGTCATGCAGATATTGAAATAAAAGTTTGAACTAGATCCTTGTCAGCCTGGAATTGAAAATACCTAGGTAGCCTAAGGTAGGTAATCTGAAATTCTGAATAGGCTAATTAATAGATTGCTAAAAAATCTCTTGTTTACCACTAAAAAAAATGTTTTAATGAGAAAAGATTTGTTTGCTGAAACTGCAGAACAAAATAATTAAACAATAATAAAATAAGGACACAAACATGTGTAGATTCACATTATCACTATGATTACTGAGCACACCAGACAGAACAGGTGACAGTGGAGTGGTCAATGAATGGTCAAACGTCCTTCAGAAATGATCAACTCATACTTACACTTTTTCAGTGATCTCCCGGACTTTCCACATGTTCAACATCATTGCAACATCAACAAATTATTTTCAGAGTAGAAAAAAAGCAGCCAAAATACGACCGCTGCCTAACGTAGACGAAATTTCTAGATAAATTGCTTTCTATGCAGCCAGAGTAACATCAAGGATACCATCAGATGTTTCAGAGCTGCCAACTGCGAGGAATTGCATAACAGTAGCCACATCATGAAAAATTTCATTGATGCCAGCTGCGTCCTTATTTATTTGATGAATATCAATTTCAAATAGCACAGAATAAAACTTGCTATACTTTGCATGAAAATTTTCAATAATTTCGCGAAAATTGCATAAAAAATAATCAAACCTTTATCATAAAACACTAATAAACCTCGAATATTCTGGAAATAATTTTCAATTGAATTTCATCGTGAAGTAAAATCGTCAAAAATTTCTAACTTCCTCAAATGTTCAATGGAAACATTGGGTTATTTTTTTTCTCTTCGAACTACTTGAAGATAGCATATCTGCTACATGGCCTTTATACGGACCTTATGCAACAGACCTCTGATGTTACAACACACAATGCATGAGAGCACCCTTCTTTAGTTTCGATCATGGTTACATTTTCCATGCTTGAATGAATGAATTATTCTCACTAACTATCATCGGAATATGAGTTTGAGCATGCAACGTTGGAATTATTGAATTATCAAAAAGTAAAGAATGTTCCTACAACGATTCAGTGCTCGCTTTAACGGTCCACATTTCTGTGTCAAGATAAACATTTCGATTCGATGAAGCATGCCGTTGTTTGGTCCCAATATGAAGGATAAATAAATGTTCATCAATAAACATTCACAACAGTTGACCAAGAGTCAATCTCCACTATCACTATCCTCAATGACTCTCAAGAGCTCTTCAAGTACATGATCGTAGAAAGAAGATATGACGACATATTCAACCATCTCTGCACGTAGCATGTCTTTCTGCCGAATACTTCTTGTTGATGAGCATCAAAATAGTGCTGAGCTAGAAGGTATCAGACGTATTAAAAAAGTTTATATCACAGTTTTTACCGGTACAAATAAAGACATTCACAAGTAGTTATTCTGTAGTTAGGATAAACGACTACCTGCGGTCCACCCAAATCGGCATTTGTCACTTTTATCATTTAAATCCAAGTGATTGCAAATCAAAGAGCATCAAGAACTGATTGCGAATCCATATTTTTCTATAGCGGTTTGCAGATAAAGCCAATTCTCAGTGCTTAATTAGTTAATTTTCTATGACTTTAGAGACTTTACTGTGAACTTTATCGGTAGAGATATCTCAAGACTGGCGTAAAATTCGTAGAAAGTTTTTTATGAGAATCTTGAAAAAATTCCAACCGCCTCAATGTTTTCCTACAAGATAATACTGATTGTGGGAATTGCAGTAACTTTAAGTCAGTTTGAATTCGGAGCTACAGCTGACTTGAGTCCATTTTCACCTCCATTTCTGCGAGGCGCGGGACAAGTTCAACCTCAGTCTCAGTTCAACTATCTTCAACCTCAAGCCCACGTACCCAGTTTAATTCACCCCCATGCTCACTATGCCGGTAACCCCAACCTAGAAAATCCAGCCCTCATCGGACCCAGTATGCTTCAATCAGAACCTGAAGAGATCATCCCAGATGAAAATATTTATTTCCAAAATAATAATTTTCATCATCCCTCGGACACAAAATCTCACGGCAACACGGCAGAGCTGAATGGCCAGATGGTAAACCCTTCTATGAATCGACAAGGACATTTTTTGGAGAACTCTGTACATGACCCCAAAACATATTCATCTGAGAGGGGGGAAAATATCCCAGAATCCAACCAGTTCGGAAATGAACAAGAATTGGATGGAACCAAAACAGGTAGACCACAACTTCGGCAGTTAGTCCTGGACCCAGCATCTGTGAGTCGAGAAGCTGAAGCCCGAAGAGAGAAACTACGTGGGGAAAACCCCCCCAGTAGGAGAGGAAGGTCTAATCCCCGAGTGTCAGAGGGTCACCGTCTGATCACAAGGGCTCTTTGGAGAATTTTTGATGCCCTCATGGAGAAGAATGAAAATCAGGCACTGCAAACGAGGATGACTTTCGTTGAGAATGCACTCAAGGACATGATCACTTCCGACTCGAAGCTAGAAGGAATGATAGAAATGGTTAAAGTGAGTGGATGCGTTTACTGAATTAAAGAACTTTGTATTTAGCGTTTGATGGTGTTTGAAGTAAGGCATTTAAGACATTGATTCTTATGTGTTACTTCTAGTTTCTAGCTTGCGAAATTGTATTTCTTCTGTTCTATTTTTTTCAGCCGCGTTGATGAATAACCATTCTCTTATTCCATTTTAATTCATTTTTATAATTTCTGAAGCATATTTAGTGGGCATCTGGATGTGAATTTTTCTCCCACTACTATTTTAAACTTGTGAATCTCAGATAAATTTAGCAATATTTAGTTAAATTATTTGAAAATATGTAGGATTTGCGTGTATCAAATTAATGATGGAAACCTGAACAAAATGAACCGTTTTATGGAATTTTATGTGCACTCTGAATATTGTTTTTTATTACGAGTACAAAAAAATCTGAAATTAAATTTTCAAAGAACTTCACACAGATTTCTTTTGCCGAATATATATTGTAATTTTGAAATATGTGCTTCGAAATAATAAAATAATAATAACGATAGTAATTACCATGTTGATCATAATAACAATAATCATAATAATAATACTATTAATAATATTCATAATAATTATAAAGTTTTCCTACTAACGTACGATAAACGAAACACAAGACAATGTACGACAACCAGCGACGTGCTATGACTCGCTGCCGAGATAAGGAGACCCAGGATGATTGTTTATCATTCACGACTGAAGTGGATGGAGGTCAATGACTGTTATAATGACTGTTATAATGACTGTTATAATGACTGTTATAATGACTGTTATAATCGTCCCATCCAGTGATGAGATACTGAACTGTCCTTATCTTTCCTGCAGTGTCGGGGGAAAATACACTGTACCGTCTTGTTGCTAACTATGATAGAACTTCAATCACGTTACTGTTAATAATAACACAACGACTAATAAATTAATATATACAGGAAGAGAACTTCATAAATGAAATTTGTTAATATGTTTAATTAATTTTTTTATGTGTTTTAAGAATAAGAGGTGGCGCAAGATGAGCTTATAGAACATTTATTAAATAATTAATATATACAGGAAGAGAACTTCATGAAAAAAAATTTTTAACATATGTAATACAAATTTATATGTGTTTTATGAATAAAAGGTGTTTCGAGAGGAGCTTCTAGCAGCATTTATTAAAATAAATAAAATATGAGGAAGAGAACTTCATACTATATATTTCAGGAGGAGAACATGGGGCAAGAAGAGCGTCTGGACGCTCTGGCCGCGGCCCTGGACAGCGTCCAGCAGCTGGAGGCCAGAGTCCAGGAGCTGGAGACCTGGAAGCTTAAGTTCGAGCGACAGAAAGACGAAGAAGAGATTGTGCTGCGTGAGAAATTCAATAATTAGAGTAGAAATAGAGTAGAAATTCAAAAATTATTTAAATTAATATATAAATTGGTAACAATTAATCGAGTGCTAATATAAAAAATTGCAGGATAAGTGAATACGTTCACGAATTTATATACATACACAAGAAAACGCTCAAAGAAATTAGTGATATTTTGTCTAAATAACAATGTACTTTTTTTCTTGTGTGAGTCATCCTGACTCAGTTTGGTGCGGCAATAGGAATGTATCTGTGCCAACTGAAAAAACCCTTGCGTATCATACACTGATTCCCAATTATTTTACATAATTAAACCTTCAATTATTTTACTTAATTACACCATCATTTATTTTACATAATCACATCATTAATTATTTTACATAATTACACCAATAATTATTTTACACAATCACACCATAAATTATTTTACATAATTACACCATTAATTATTTTACATAATGACAACATCAATTATTTTTAATAATCACACCGCCAATTGTTTTACATAATTAAACCATAAATTATTTTACATTTCTACTTCATCAATTATTTTACATAATTACACCTTCAATTATTTTACGTAGTTACACAATACATTATTTTACACAATTACACCATTAAATATTTTGAATTTCTACTGCTAAATTTAACCGAATTTTTTCACCAAGCTTACCTCAGCCGGCAGGCTTACAGAAGCGCACTTAAAGAATTGAATGAGTCTTTGTCCAAAAAGTGATACTTTTTGCCCCTTTTGTGGGTCATCCTGACCCAGTTTAGCCTTAAATTTACAAATATTTCCCACACAGCCTACCAGAGTAGGCCTGCCTACCGTAGCGCATTCAAAGAATCGAGTGGGACTTTGTCCAAAAAGTGATACTTTTTGCCCCTTTTGTGGGTCATCCTGACCCAGTTCGGCCTTAAATTTACCAATTTTTCCCACACAGCCTACCAGAGTAGGCCTGCCTACCGTAGCTGCCCGGCGCCCTTCGAGACGGTGGGCGGCGAATGCTTCTACGTGGCTGGGGAGACTAAGAGGACCTGGCAAGACGCTAGGAGGGACTGTTCTAAATACGGTGGAGACTTGGCTGCTCCTAATAGTCTCACTAGTCTCAGGACTTACCTCCAGAGTCTTGCCTGTAAGTCTTTGACGACTTAGTAATAGTCATATATATACACTCAAGGAAATAAGTGAGAAAATTAGATATGAACTTTCCGTTCTTTCCGTTCGTTCGTGGGTCTTTCCGTGGGTCTTCGGGACCCAGTTTGGCCCGGCAAAAGGGAGTATCAGTGCTACGTCCTCTCTCTGCTCGTGCTGTGGGTAAGAAAGTGTGTCCTTTTTTAGGCAATTTGACACACATTTTTAGCCGGCTAACTCACTGAAGCGATTTACTGGCAAAAAAAATAGAAATATTCTTCCGGAACCTTAGAAGTCTACGGTTTTTACTCCTGAGATTTAACTATCGTGTCACAAATGATTTTGATTATCGCTGATGATATCAGATTTTAAGTCAGGAAAAGAAAATAAATGAGAAAGATATAGTGAACAGGTAATTATGAAACGATATTTTAATATCTCATTATTTAGTTTGCTTAACATAATTCTCAAACCCAGTGAAGTATAGATACAGGCATTTTACATGTTTCTGTGCGACTGTAAGTTTTGAATCGTACACTAGGACCGTTAGAAGAGTAGAAAGTTATAACTAGATAAAAAATAAAATATGGATTTCTAAGCATGAAAATAAATTTTGAAAATAATCGAAATCATACAGGAAAGGACTATAATTCAAATAAATTATAATAGTTGTAATCTTTTTCTTTGAAATAAAATCCGTAGTAATAAAAATTTGTAAAAGTACAACCAAAATTTGAAAAACATGGTAATATTTCTAATTTTATTTTATGCTCAGACCCAAAGCCCTAATGGAAATATTAAACTAAAATATAAAAAAATAAATTGATATAAAGAATATATTATTTTATTTGTGATCAGACCGTCCCGAGTACGTCTGGGTAGGCGCGTCGCGCCAGGGCAACGGAGACTGGGTGTGGTCTGCTGGCCCTACAGTGAGCAATTCTTATTTTGTATATATTATTCTTCATGTTATATTTCATTTAATTATTATTTTTTCATTGTATATATTCTATTTCATTATATGTTGTATTTTATTGTTTATATCATGTGCCCTACAGTGAGCTATTCTTATTTTAATTTAATAAAATTTATTATACTATAAATTTTTCATTGTACATATTCTATTCTATGGTATATTGTATTTAATTATAAATTTTTCATTTATATATTATATTTCATAATATATTGTATTTAATTATTAACTTTTCATTGTATATATTATATTTCATGATATGTTTTATTTAATTACATAACTTTCATTGTATATGTTATCTTTCATGATATATTGTATTTAATTGTAAATTTTTCACTGTACATATTATGTTTCATGATACATTGTATTCAATTATGAATTATTTATTGTATATATTAATATTCATGCTTTGTTTTATTTAATTATAAAATTTTCATTGTATATGTTATCTTTCATGATATATTGTATTTAATTATAAATTTTTCATTATACATATTCTATTCTTTGGAATATTGTTGTATTTAATTATAAATTTTTTATTGTACATATTCTCTTTCGTAATATATTGTATATATTTATAAATTTTTCATTGTATATATTCTTTTTCATGATATATTGTAAATAATTATAAATTTTCCATTGTACATATTCTATTCTATGGTATATTGTTTATAATTTTAAATTTTTCATTGTAAATATTCTATTCTATGGTATATTGTAACTAATTTTAAAATTTTCATTGAATATATTATAACTCATGATATATTGTATTTAATTACAAATTTATCATTTTCTATATTATATTTCATGATATATTGTATATAATTCTAATTTTTTCATTGTATATATTACCTTTCACGATATATTGTATTTTAATTATGAATTTTTCACTATAAATATTATATTTCATTATATATTGAATTTAATTATACATTTATCATTGTATATATTATATTCCATGATATATTGTATTTAATTATATATTATATATTTATCATTGTATAAATGTATATATTACATTTCATAATATGTGATGTTTAATTATACATTTTTCATTGTATATATTCTATTTCATGAGATATTTTACTTAAGTATTAATTTTTCAGTTATGTTTTGGATAATATCCATGATGATTTTATCATGTCTATGAGATGGCTTTAAAATTCTTTCCGAATTCCGTCTTCCTTTTCGGCCGTCCCCCCTTCTTCCCCCATCCATCTCCCCAGGAAACTTATTCGATTGTGCGGAATTTCCAACTTTCCCCAACCCCCTCCCTCTCCAAGAGATTCCCCCCTTCCTGAGAATTTATCTGTCCCTCTTCCTCTTCTTCTCATCCTCCCTTTCATCCCCTTCACTCCTTCCCCTCAATCCCCCTAGGGGAGTCGTGCGGTGTCCATGGACGAGCAGACCTGGAATGAAGACCTCCCCAACGGTCTGGGGAACTGCATGGGGCTGTACGAGGGGGCCGAGTACAGGGCTTACGACTACACCTGTGGGGAGGAAGACCTCTACGTCTGCCAGTTCTTCTTGTGAACACAACTGTTCCTTGGGGAACACTGTGGGGAACACTGCTGTTTCTGGGATGGACACAGTGGGGAACACAGCTGTTTCTGGGGGGAACACTGCTGTTTCTGGGGGNAAACAGATTGATGTTCATGGGGGAACAGAGTGATGTTCATGGGGGAACAGAGTGATGTTCATAGAGGGAAAACACTACGATTCAGGGAACACTACTGTAACTAAAGAACAAGGTCTTACAGAAATGAAGAAAAAGGTAAAAAAATTTGAAGAAAATTCTCCAAAACCACATTGCAATTAAGTTTGTATGGCCTTTTCCTAACTTTCAAAGCGAGCCATGCTCCTAAAATTTAAATTTATATAAGTTATGGTAGAGAATTGTTCATTGCTGTTGAATTAGTAAGTAGGCCTATATTGTGGTATAGATGTTATGATGTTGCTGGTATTTACATTGCCATGATAACTTCGAAATGAAATCGTTAGTATATCTTATATATATGATTAAATACGTATATGCTTCAAATTTCATTCTGATCACTTTAAATAGAATAAATGACATTTGACCGTTGGAAAAAATGGCGTCGAATATTTTTAATTCTTTAAGCATTTAGCTTTATATTTAGTGCATTTATGTCTGAATTGAATTGTTTTATATATATAACGAGGCGCATGCATGCCGGAGGCCAGCTTTGCCCAACTCCACACGTTGTTCATATTCCTTTTCGTGGGTAAGAACACTAGAGGGCATGACAGCCTATGAGGTCAACTGCTGAAAGCCATAGCTTCGTATGTCCACAGCCACAACTTAAGTATGATAAAGGTAAACATGGCCATACTGCATCTGGCCAACCCTCTTCCGGCCTAACCTACACAAGGTGCAACATTTCCCACTTAAAACAAACCTGAGCAGCCCTAACCTAACCTCAATGGCTGCAGGAAGTTAGGAAGGCGGTTCAAGTGGGCTGTTAGAGCCAGTCATTGGCTTCAAGAAGGTTGTGACCCGGGACAGCGTGAAGAGGTTAGGCCGGAGTAGGTGAGGCTGGATGCGGAACTGCTTACGTGCGAGCATGCTTTGTTATTGGGTGAAGACCTGCGGTGCTATTATCTTACGACTCGGACAAATTTACAGCCGGGCCCGCGGCCGGTCTCCGCGGCCGCCGGACTCCAAACATACAAAAAACCTAGCAAATCAACGAAAACCTCGCAGGTTAGGTCCAGTTAGGAACAGGTTCCATGAAAAACACAAAAACCTAGAAAATTCCATAAAAACATTAAGAAACCTTTCCGGCTGCGAGACCGGCGGCGGGTCCGGCCGTAAGTTTGTCCGAGACCTGTATCGTTTTTGCATCATGAGGCTGGGCGAATTGGCTTCAGTGCTTATTTAAGAGTTCCATATGTGGCCTATCGCAGCGCCCTCTATATAACATCAAGGATTTTTCATAGCGAGTAAATACTATCCGTTAAACATGTACAATTTTTTTCCTTCTACTTATTTTTAGTTAATGCTCCGAAAAAAATGACTTAAACTGATTCAGTAGGTAATGTCATAGACTATAATAGTTTAGTTATTTCTCAAATTAGGAGTACACACTACACATGAGTGATATTATTACACACATTTCGAAATATAACAAAGACGAACAAGAAGATTGTAAATAAAAAGCATGCTCTGGTCTTCAATCAAACTTGCATAAAAGAGAAGCTTCTGCCGAACTACAAGTGTATCATGAACGAACGGACATATCTGCCGAACGGACTGTATCATGAACATGAATGTGGCGGAGTCTTGGTCATTCATCAAGAACACGGTTATGTCTGCAGTCTGTCTCTTATACACATCTAGATGTGTATAAGAGACAGGNGGTTGTCAATCACTGCTGTGCCAGTCACAAACTTGCATTGTTGGCTTCACAGAGCAAAATCTACTAACGTTGGAGCAAGAGCTGTCTCTTATACACATCTAGATGTGTATAAGAGACAGGCTTAAATCTTGGGTAAATGAGAAAATTAAAAATGAACTGATTCTAAAAAATCACTGGTTTGCCACTATGCTGCAAAGCAGAAAGTTTTTTAGACTCTCCCTAAAGTTCAATTTTGACTACTGTACCTACTATTATTACTATAAGTAGACCAGTAAAGTGTCATCACTGTCATGGATACTTTACTCTTTACTGGTCCACCTATAGTACTATCATGGACACCAGCCCAGCATTATCATACATAAAAAATTGGTTTAAAGATTGAGTAAATGAGGAAATTAAAAATGAACTGATTCTGAAAAATCTCTGGTTTGCCACTATGAGTATGATGCATAGTATGGGACACCTTCGGCTTCACCATGCTCGTGGTCTGACGGTGGGAGTAGACTTAGAAAAAAACTGTATTGGTTACTTGATAGATTTTTATTTCCTTGTACTAGGCTATCAACCAATTTAATGGATCATTTGTTCCAAAAATTGAAATCCAGTGAGGTGGTATACCAGTTTCAGGAAGATTTAAGTTTTTGGGAATATTCCTGTGCAAAATGGGCTTCATGAAGGCTGAAACAGATGGTCCGTTCCAGGGTGCAGAAAGTGCAAGCAGCGTTTCCAAGATATTTAGCCCAAAGCATCGTTTTTTTAGCCCAAAACATCGCCAGCCATTTTCAAGAGCCATTGCCAGTAATTTTTAATAAGAAAGTGCTGCTAGCAACTTTGATAATATATCCCTTACTATCCATGCACCACAACACTTGCACACAATGCAACTGATTTCCGGAAAAGCTTCACTCAGTTCACTGCATCCTGATCCTTCCAGCGTACTGGAAACCTTACTGTGTGTGCCTAAGGTTTTTCAGATTTACAGTAATTTTGAAGTTATATCTCATATGCAATAATTTCAATCCAAATGTGTTGGCAAAATCTTCAGAAGGCTTAAATTTTGCTGCAGATGTGTTGCCAGACATCTTTCAATATTCACATACTTTCTGCTCCCTGGGGTCTGTGCAGTCTGCACAGAAGTATCTCAATACTCTGCAGGATCATGCAGGATTGCTCAAAAAAGCACAGTTGGCAGCAGCAGATGGCTGCATGGAGCAGGTGGTGGCAGCCAGCAACCGGCAGTGAACCAGAATTGCCTAACTGAACCAGAATTGCTTGTTGTTATGCATACTTGTTATGATCACTTTCTTCTGGACTTTATACATCATGCACTGCCTAGATCAGAGCTACTATGTAATTTAGGATGCATTAATGTAGAATTTACTTTGTCCTGTTGGAGAGAGGCAACCATAATGATAATGTGCAACATGAAATTTTCCATTTTTTTTTGCTTTATTCATATTGAAATCAGGCAGGTTTGGTGAGCTGTAGATAGGTGTACCACAAAGCTGTATAGATGCATGCATGAATATCATGCATATGTTAGATTACTACTGTAGCCACTAATTTACTGTATGCTGTTATTGTTAGTTAATTTATTACCAACTAGGCGCATCTTATAATAATAGCGGTGTAGCGGTTCGATCAACTGGGGTTCCACAAAACCTATGTGGATATGAGCCCCCTTACCCCATGAGACTATTCCACT